GATCAGGTGCGGCGCTACCGCACGGCGTTCACCCGCGAACAGATCGCGCGCCTGGAGAAGGAGTTCTACCGGGAGAACTACGTGTCACGGCCCCGCCGGTGCGAGCTGGCCGCTGCGCTTAACCTGCCCGAAACCACCATCAAGGTACGGATCCCAGCACGCGCCTGGCTCTGGCCTCCCGGGGGTGTCTGGGTGGATGTTTGTGTCTCCTTTCTGGGGGGCTAGACTTAGCTGGGCCTGAAAACCCGCGAGGGAGAGTCACCAAAAGAATCGGCACGTTTATTTCCCGAATCCGAAGGGTTGGTGGGCCTGGCTGACCTGGGAAGGGCCTGGAATGGCGGAGCCGAGGCCGCAGACGGTCGCCCGTTCGCCCGTGTCCAGGTGCCCATGGCCATGGCTCCACTTCCCCTGTGGCGGCGGAGCAGGCTGGGCTTTGTTCCTCTGGTATGAACCAGACGTGGAACTTTCCATTTGCTTCTGATCTTGGACATTAATTTCCCACAGAAATCGTTACAACACAGAGAAAATGATACTGTATTTTAAAAACCGATTGGGTTTTTAAAAAAGTATTTCTAAGTATTTTTCCCCCCGGGGCAACAGGAAAGGACAACCCCCTGGAGAGACAACGCAATGAACTTGTCCTTATTTACACATTTTAGGTGACTAGTTTTATTATGCGGGCGGGGAGAGAGAGAGAGAGAGAGAGAGAGAGAGAGAGAGAGAGAGATACGGGAGGTTGGGCGACGTGGTGAATACTTGACAGAGGATCCGACTTTCTGGAAAAAGGAAACGGGAAACTCCACGGGGCAGGGGAGGGGTGCGGAGATCTCCCTTCGGTTTCCTCCGACTTTCTCTAAGTTAGGGGATGATGTCTTCATTAGAAACCGGGCTGCGAGGGCGTAGAAAAGTCCCCTTCCCAGTTTAAGAGGAAGTTATTCCCACCACTCATTGGAGGCAAATGTTCCCAACAAAATCATCCCTTCAACATCGAAATCGAACCAGTGACCCCACGGGCAGGCTCTTGTAGCTCAGAGGTCTCGGCACCGGGAGCGGCGGCCTTTTCCCCAAGCTGCAGCCGCAGCCTCCCTGCCCAGGCGGTGCACATGCTGGGACTGAGCGCCAGGTGCCGGCGAGCGGTGGGGCGGAGTGGGAGGGTGGCGCTGGGACGAGAAAACGCAGCAGAAAGTCAGGGAGCAGAAGCCCGAGGGGCTGCAGCAGTCGGACCCAGCGTAGGAGAGTCTTTTTGTCGAGGAGGGTGTGCCCCGCGGTCCGCTCGGCCACCCGCTCTGTCCCAGCGGGGAGGGCAGGGGACTGGGCGCTGGGTCGGGTCGGAGGGG